ATCTGTGTTACTCTTAAACCCAACCCCTTAGCAACATATTCCGCCACGAGCGAATGCGTCGCTCCCGAATCAAACAAAATAGATAAATCAGTATTATAGATGAAAATTATACCTTTAACCAGATTCGGTGCCTTTTCTGTCTGCTGCGCATTAGTAGTATATACACGTCCAACCGTAGGAGCAAATAGCAAGGTCTGCAGATTCGCAGCCTGCCCAGTATTACTATAGCACTCCCTGACAAAATGCCCAACCTTACCACATTTGAAACAAGAATTCGGAGCCGCAGTACATGGACCCCGATGGTACCTCTTACACTTATCACAATGCGGAGCAGAAATTATATCATTAAAACCACCCCTCTTGAATTGACCAGGAGGCTGCCTTACCTGCAACCCCCTACCTCTATTATTATTCTGATGGTAGCCACCTCTGTTATTATTTCCAGAAGGACCAGATGTCCTCCTAATTTTCTGCTCCCTTGAAGAACTAGACTTCGGATACCTGTCGTAAACAGTTTCAACCCTTTTACATTGGGTCACCAGATCAACAAAATTTCTAACAGCAGTATTAGACATCCTCTTGGCAATTTTCTCATTTAGGCCTCTCTGAAATTTAGCATATAAGAATTACGGGGTAGGCAGAACACCCCTATAGTTTGCGAACTTGACCAATTCATTAAACTTGGCCAGATATGCATCAACATACATGGTACCCTGTACCAATTTCTCAAACTTACCCTGTTTAGCTTCCCGTACATCCCTGAGAAAATACTCCTCATGAAATAATCTCTCAAATAAAGTCCATGTCAATTCCTTTCCCTGAATAGTGAACGGGCGAGATGCGTTGTACCACCACTCGTGGGCATCTCCCTCAAGCATATAAACAGAATACATCAGTCTCTGGATCCTGACACCTCATTACCTGAAATATTTTCTCCATCCCCATCAACCAGGTAGTAACTACCTTCGGGTCCCTTGACCCTTGAAATGCTGGTGGCTTGTGTTTCCTGAATGAAATGAGCCTCTGCTCATCAGCACCAGCAAATAGCTACTCAGCAACCCCAGAAGACTGAGCAACAACAGTCGGATCAACATAAGGCTCTGGGATATATGTAGGATCAGTAGTATGACGACTAGCCTCCTCAGAATGACGACTAGCCCCACTCCCCTCGTGATGAGGAGTACCAGATGACGTAGGTGTAGGAGTCATCGTAGCCGTATATGGAGGAGAATCATCCCTCATATATCTAGCTCTTTCAGCCCTCATCTCAGTCATGAAGGCGTGCATCATATCCTGATTATTTTTCATCAGGTTCTCAGTCATTGTCCTATTCGTAGCAATCTCTGCCTGCAGAGCATTCAGAACTGCAGTAATCAGATCTGGTGCTAGAGGACCTGCATCTCGAGTTCCACGGCGACCACAAGCCTTACTCATGATATCTGTACATGTAACACAAAGGAATGAGCTGATCAGACCCACACTGAGGAATCACATATACATTAATCATAAATAGTTCAAAGATAGCTATGTAACACAAAATACAGTCATATATAATCAGAGTTCCCTATTAAAACTTCTCTGATACCATAAAATGTAACAGCCCGTTCTACACCAGTATTGTTAACATTAATTATGATATTAAGCGCAGTTACAATCACAGCAATTCATTTATAAAAATGCAAGTAAACTTTTTTCGTTTTATTACGCGAGCATTTAAAACAATAATAAAGCGTAATAAATAAAAGCTGTGACCATAACTGTAAATTCTTTGTGGAATAATTATTTAATCTATCTATATATCATGAAATACTTCTCTCAAGTCACTAAGGGGTTCCCATAAACCGACTCAGCTAAAATCTCACTTTTACGTTTTCTACCTATCCGAACATGGTTCGGTCTTTTAATTTATGCGGACAAACTGCATGTTGTCAACCTCTCATCTTTTAGTATGTTATTCTAGACTTAATTACCTTTCTAGGAAGCTATCACACGAGTCATAAAGTTCTCTTTTGCTCTTGATATCGCCGTTTGAAGTTGGACAAGCAAATCTGCTAGCCAACCTCAAACCGGCTCCAAACAACCTTCACTCCATAAATTATTATGGAAAATCCACTCAAACAATTGCTCTCAAATACTTATACAGTAAACTAGACACCTCAAGCTTCAATTTTACATATTATACACTTAATATGACCAAGAAACGAAGCAGGAATAAATTTCCCAAACTCGCACCAGAACAGCCACAAGTGCAATGGCCATATGAGCAGTCTGTGCTCTCTCCCAAAGTTCACCTAAATTCTGCCAATTTCTAGAAATTTCGCCAGAGTTTACTTTAATTTTCCAAGAAATCCCATATTTGTAAATGTGTTATCTAACTTCAATTTTGTACCTAATAATCATGGGTGGCACACAAGGACCAATAATGCCGTGGTGCTCTTACAACCCTTCACAATTTATATCCAATTACTCAATTTACATCTTGATACTTACATTTTCAAAACTTAACATATTTCAATCACCTTAACCATTTTGCATGCATTCTTTAAACATACACACAATCATAATCCTAAAATAGGCCTATGGCCCTTTCATCATATAGCATGCTCAATACAACACAAGGTCCAATATTACAATTACAATTTTCCAATGTAAATCATAAGGCCATAAATTCTCCAAATACAACATAATGAATTTGACCTCAAAATAAAGCATAATAAATGTACAACTAGACTTAGGCAAAAAGATGGCATGAACAAATATGACAATACACATAAATCTCAACCCATAGACAATGTTCATACTCTAAGTCTAGCCTAGGCCCAATGCCCACCAAAATACAAAATAAGTAAAAGTCCTCATGCTCAACCTACAGGCTTCTTGCCCGCCGCCCCAACACCACTGCTACCACCTGAAATAAACTCCTCAAAGCGGGGTGAGATATACGAATATATCTTAGTAATCCAGAGGTTCTGGAGAATACTCCACCCCATAGCTCACTTCGATGCATATAAACAATATAACATAACATCTGAAAACGGGATAAAGCAAGGGATTTAGTGAAGTAGGGAAGCATAGGGAAATAAAATACGATGAAGCTGAAATGGTCAATGCCAAAACCACGCAACGCCCAGCCTATTGGCCTCGGCATATAGCCTACGGGTTTCAACCAAGGTGTGTTCTCAGAACATCAATCAAGGTACCTTCCATCCATAACCACCCGAGACTTCATAGTGTGCTCCTCTACGGATCACACACCATGACCCCAGGTCAACTGGAACTCCCTCACGGAGACCTATCCAGTGGAAGTTTGTAACACCCGAAGGCAAACAGTCTACTGGCCAGAGACACGGTACATCCTATGTACCACAACACATACAATATGCATGAACATGTTAGCCTATATTATTCACATACATTTCCTACCATTACCCTCAATGGGCATGGTGGAGAACACACGGGGATCAAACCCCAATACCAAGGGATTACCTGTATAATCTCCTCTACACAGCTCCAATGCAATACTTCTCGAGCTAGATACACAAACAGAAATGCCTACACATAGGACATTCCCAATTAATTTTCCATTCACCAAACACATGCAAGTTATCAAGCATACAAGTATGGTTCAAAAGTACTTACCACAATCCCTATGGTCCGGAACCAAGCTCATGGTTCAGTGTTCAAATTTGCGGGAGGCAACTTACATTGATCATACACGGATCATCAATATACGGTGAATCCACCAAAGTTACAGAACGTCAAATTTCTCCCCCACCAATGTGAGGTTCGACCAAACAAGTGTAAATTTCCAAAATATTTTCCTAATTTTTTTTATTTTTCTTTAGCATCATAATGCTACCCCAACACCATTTTAGATGTCACTTTCCATTTTACACCATCCTAGCATCATTTTGCCATTTATTCCACTCTAGGTCCAATTACCAATTCCACACAACCAAATATTTTTCCTTTTATCTTTCTTGCATCCATTCACCTCACAACACCTCAAAATACCATTTAACACTACACAATATCAATTACACAATCTTTCGAAATTTTCTTAAAATTCTCAATGAAAACATGCATATGATATATTGTTAGAAATCTCTCATCACGTAGAACAAAAGTCTCAAGGTCTCCAAGATCAATTGCAAAAAATTCTAAACGAAATTTTATCATGACCTTTAGGTTCTATATGCAAATTTAGAATTATTTTAATAAAAAAGGGTCTTATAATCATATATGCATAACTCTCATACGAAATGAAAAAGATAATTTTCAATCCATTGGTCAAACCCAAGAGCAGGAACGAGAAAATGCTAATGCATGGAAGACTAGTATAACTTTAGATATGTGGAGAACTGTTGCTTAGTAATTTTGAATGTTTGTTAACATTTTTATTATTTTTACTGATTGAGAAAATTATATTAGATTTTATTTTTTTATTAATATTATTGCATTTTTTTATTATTTTTTTATTGACTCTGGTAATTTTAAATGTTTGTTAAAAATTCATATGATTTTTTAAAATTTTATAAACCCTTGTTACCCTTTCAAATCTTATAAATTTTGTTAAAATATTTTAAAATTTTTAATCTTATAAAATCTTAATTATAATTTTTTTAAAAAATATATATTTAAAATCCCTTCAATTTTTAATAATCTTTTAAAATTTATAAATTTTTTTATAAATTCTTTTAAAATTCTAATTAAATACAGTGGGTTAAATTTGTAAGAGTTTAAACATAATTGGAAGTTAGTCGATAAAGTTTATTTTGTTGTACTGAGTCCAACATCAGTGGAATTTGCAATTGCAATTGCGAATAAGCAAAGGGAAATAATTTTATTATGTTGTAGGAAAATGCTTATCTTATGATGTAGAAACAAGATTGCAAGTGAGATCCATAGGTAAGATGAGAGAGGAAAAAAAAGAAATGAGACCCAGCTAGCTTTTGTGTGTGTAGGAAATGTATTTATCTTACGTAAAAGTAGATAAATATAACCCATAAGGAAATACCAAAGTTGAGTTTCGAAAACTGCAGCTTTTGGAATCAAAGAAGAAAAAAAACAAAATGGCGAGCGTGCCTTCATCTTCTCCAACTCGACGCACGCCTCTGTCTGCCTCCGATTCCGGCAACTCCACCTCTCACTCCCCTAAGAAACAGGTGAGGTGACCCATCTTCTTCCCGCATGCACGCGTTCTTGCCATTTGTTCTAATTATTTCGAGGGTTTTCGAAGGTGGAAGCTGCTACAAACAATGGGGTTTTCCATGGCGATGACATAAAACCTGATTTTGCTGATGGTCTTGAGTAAGTTTTTTCTTTTTATCTCTTTCTTCTTCTTCTTCTTCTTTCCTGTTTTCTCTCTCTCTCTCTCTTGCCCTTATTAAACTGTTGTTTTGTTTAGGTGTACAAATTACAAAATATTTTTGTTCGCTCCGAATTTTGTAGAGATCTGAAACTCAAAAAAGTTTTTATTTTGAAGCTGTTAGAAATTCCAAGTAGCTTCCTTTATGGTTCTTGTCTTGCAATGACAACATTTAAACTGAAGTCTGCTGTTACTTTGCTCATTTATTTACAAGAATGATTAAGGAAGATAGTGGGCATGCCTCAAATCACACATTATATTTTGTCCATGAGTGAATGGATCTGTCTCTTTTAGGCCTTTTTGTGTGGTTTTTGAACTCAAAGCTAGGTCCTGTAATTTGGCAATATCCACTTCAGGGACGCAACATGGAAAGTTTTAGTACAACTATGTATATATTATTGATCTGACTAAGACGTCATTTTATGGAGCGATGTTGACTTTTTATCATGTAGCTAGCTACGCACAACCACTAGAAAACAATCCCCCCTGGCTGAATTTCTAAGAGTTTATGTAGAATGGATGCATACAAAGGGGGTATTTTTCTTGTCTGATTCCTATATGGAGCATCTAATACCATGAGTCCATGACCACAGAAAATGAAATTAAACATGATGGGTACACTAGAATAAGTGTCAATACCTTTAATAATAATACAGAGATAAGAAGGGAAAAAAGACTCGTAGTATTGATAAGTATGGGAAGGTGAGAGCATGCAAATGAGAATAGTCATGGAAATATCAGTAGAAATTTAGGGGAATATCGCATATTGCCCCAATTTCCATTCTTCAATGTTCTTGTTGGTCAAGTACTTGAGTGTCTGATGACATGGCCATGGTTATTGGTGTTTCCTGCAAGATTCAAACCCTTGCATGGCAGGTAAAGTTTGCTCACATGGAGCTCAAGTTGCCAACTGAGCCAAATAGCTGAAATTCCAAGGCTCAGGCCTTAGTGGCAGAAAAATGCTAGAAAGGAAATAGATGTGATCAATGGTAGAAGTATTTATATTTTTGAGACATTGAGGGAAGTACTGAAATATAGCCCTTTCTGTTGGAACTGGCACTGGTATCTGCATGTGAAAACAGCTCATGTGTATACTTCATTTCTTCCTTTTCACTAAATGAAAATCTCATTGAAACCCGTTGTTCTTATTTTAGAAATCTATAATATTAAATGAAAGCAGAAAACATCTTGATTTTCATTTGGGTGACCATGCTGGTATGCCTTTTCTATCGTGGTTGTAGCTTAGTCACACTCTTTGGTGCACTACGGGATGATAAAATTTGGAGTTACTCTTCTTGGTTTGTTTTGTATCATATAATTGCTAGATGGTAATTCAGTTTTTCTCCGTTAAGTATTGGTTTGGAAAATAAAAAATGTAAGTGTTTATTTATTGTTTTCTTATCCTGCATATATAGTCCATTCTAATTCCTCCATGCCATAGTGGTTGAGGAAAATTAGTGCCATTTCATTACCTCATAGTGCACCGAGTGAAACCCCCCACGGATATTTTTTAATTAATTCAATTGTTCATCTGATCACTTAAGTCATATAACCTCATTTTGTCAGTTACGGAGCCAATAGTTTGCACAATATGCACGATCGCAATCATCCCTCCCTTGGAAGCAATTCTGAAGGAGCTAAATTTACCTGATGTACCTCTATTTGCTTTTTTTTACATAAAAACCTATCTCAGAATGCCCTTAAAATATCTTCCTTACATTCTAATCTAAAATCTTTGGATGGAATGTTTTATTTGCTGCAAGTTCTTTGTCCAGATTTAGGTAATTTACCATATTCTTCATTGTACAGTCACCTGGACAGCACACAGTGCATTGAGAGGTTTAGAAAATATGATGCTGAATACACTCGACGTTTGATGGCAAAATATTTCTCTGCAAAAACTGTTTATGGAGGTATGCAACAATATCCATTTAAAGGGATATGTGGATCACTCTCTTTATATGCAATAGAGGATACTTGCTTTCCCTGCTAGATTTGTGACTGGTATGACAGATTTCTTTGATTTAGGCATGAAGAATTCATAATACTTTTTTGCTTTAAGTTGTGCTTTATTTTTTTAGCGTCACTACAGAAATAGCCTATATATTAGAATATGGTTCTGCAGTGCGTAATATCTACTGCAACTTCTCTTGTGCTTATTTCCTGATTATCTGTATTTAAGTGAAGCATTAATTTTTTAAATTATTAAAATGAATATAAACTAGTGAAGGATAAGAAATTTTAGACTGATGAAGGATAAGTAAATTTAGAATGATGACAGTAAATACTGTAATGTTGTATGAAAGTTGCACATTGTTGTGATGTTGGAGGGTAATGGAATTGGAATGTCTTATTGTTTTAATTAATGATGTAAGACTATTTTGTGTAGCATTTCTCTCCATAAAAGAGAAGTGTTTGTACTGTTTGCTCCAGACATAGTCTGGCGATGTTTACAATAACTCTACGTTGTTAATATTATCATTTGCATCTGAAAGCAAGTTAGATTAAAATACAGAACTTCAAGCTTTTTTTCTTGCCAACTTTACATTATGAGTTTAAATCTTTATTTTATATGTTGAAATACAAGTTTTAAATAGTAAATGTCATTTTTTGCAGGCAACATATTTGATGAGCAAATAACACTATGTGATGAAATTATAAAGTCAAGTAGGTAAGCATGTGCTATGAACTAAAATATCTTCAATGTTCCATGCTAGAGAAAATAAAGACAACAATACAAATAGGAATGACTAACTCTATGTTGTTTGTTTCACTGTCTCTAAATTTGTATGAAAAATAAAGATCAGTGCAAGAAAGATAGGCCCAGTCCAATAATACAAAATAACCTAATAAGCATATATATATATATATATATATATATATATATATATATCTGTTCTCTATATATATATATCTGTTCTCTAACTTCCAGAAACTAATCTGTACATGGACATCTTTGTCTAGGTTGCCATGTTTCAGGTCATATGCAGATCCTGTAGTAGGTTTAGAAGAACAATGCAGCAATGGATCAACTCCACCAACAGACACACAAGGTAACATCCCCAATGGGAAACATATGGTGAAGAAGAACAATTGAAGTAATTTGTATGGAGAAGCATCAATGCACATGCCGTTGTATAAAAATTAGACTAAATACCCTCTTCGGTCCTCTGCAAATTTCACGATACCCGCTTTAGTCCCTAGCAAATAAAAAGGCTATTCGTAGTCTCTAAGAAATTCAAAATGGACCCATTTTAGTCCTTTTGAGGACTAATGTGAGTCTTTTTTGAATTTGTGAGGGACCACGATTTCAACTAAATAGGTCCATTTTGAATTTCTTAGGGACCACGAATAGCCTTTTTATTTGCTAGGGACTAAAGCGGGTATCGTGAAATTTGCTGAGGACCAAAAAAGGTATTTACTCTAAAAATTAATTCAAATATAAGCATTATTACTGGGGATTCTGGAACTTAAAATTCTGAAAAGATGGTTATGGCCTCAAAACGATCAATTTCCCAGCCTAAAAAGGATTTCCTGGTTGTGGTTTTTGTGGAGTTATAATTATGTGCTAAGGGCTGCTATTCATAGGATTCAGTATTCTGATCACAAAGTAAATAAGTAAATATCGCGCATTTTTCTTATTTGCATTCTTGACCCATTTGTATGTCTTAGCTTGTTCCTAGTCTAGTATAGTGAAGGTCCATAACATAAGGAGTCCTGATTTTGCGGCCGATTGAGTGATAAAAAAGTTATACTTTTGCCATTTGAATCAAGAATTTTTTAGATTAAGGGACCAATTTAAGATTGATGGATCATTTTGTATGGATGAATTCAATAAATTGTGAGGTGTAGTATACACGACAAATTTAGATACATAGGCTTAGTTGGAACAAAAAGAGGAAAATAGTGTTGATTGGAGAGACTAGGGGAGGTACCTGTAAGACACTTCGATACTCAAGTCAGTAATTATTTTTGATAGTTAATTCTGAATGGAAAGATGATCATACTTGGGCTTTGTGCCTTTGTTTATATAGTAGTTGAGCATCTTGGTTATGTCGTCTTAGTGTGGTGGTGTTCATTCCTATTGGTGGGTAGGAGTGGCCTTTGTAGGTGATCCCGTTTGCGGGATGCTTAATGTCATGCTACATTTCGTAGGTGCAGCCATACTTATTAATCTCGGATAGCAGCGCGTAGCGGCTGACCCTCCAAACTGCTATAGCGGGTAGCGCTACGACGCTACTGTGCAAAGTATACCTAAGTGATACACTAAATTGTACAAATATAAAACTTAAAAAATGAAAATGTGACATAAAAAACAAATTTGAAGGATCTCAAACTCAAACATAAATGATTTCAAACATTAAAATTCAAATCATAAGCAAAATTAAGGAATTAAAGTATCAAATAATGTAACACAACAAAATGAAGTGGCAAAATTAGTAAAAATTCAAACTACTACTTAAGTGAAATGTCAAAATCAAAGAACTTAAGGAACTAATCATAATTGAAATCATGAACATCCAAATCTTCATCTTCACTTTTATTTGTATCTAAGTTGTAAATCTCTTATTTTGCATAGATCCTTATTTATAGTACGATTAATTTGTTTCACTTTAAATCTCTTCATTAATTTTACTTGTAAATCTCTTCATTAATTTGTAGCCACACCTTGATTATTTATAGCAAATTAATTTGTTACAAACCTTGATCTAACTAAAAGTGAAAGTTGTAAATATTTTAACAAATAATAAGATTAATTTTTTTCTATTATTTCAAGTAAAATTATTTAAAAAATAAAAGCAACGTGATATTTTTTTATTAATTAATGAACATAAAAAATATTTTCAAAAACCAAACATACTCTAAATTAAATACAATGACCTTACCAGAAAAAATAAGAAATACAATGTGACATCCTTATTTTCCTATATAATTGGGTCACACACATTGAGTGAAAAATGTTAATGTAAATGTAAATGGGCTTTTTGCACAAACAAAAAGAAAAGAAATTAGTTGTCAACCTAACCCAATTAAACTGAGGCCAATATTCAGAACAAGCAGGTTAAATCGGAACCTACCACAGATCAGACCGAGTTTAATGAACAAAATTGGTAGTATCGAAGAAGCTTAGTTAGATCAAAGATCTGAACATAGATAGGACAGAAGAGGAAGAAGAGAACGGGAAGGAAATTGGGAGCGATATTTACAACGTATGCTGACTCATACAAGAAGTGGCGGAACACTTTCTTTTGGGTGGAGCCTGTGCTTGAGGAGGGGGAGGTACCTTTCTTTATTGACCGGGAGAGTGGAGCGAGCCGGATTGAGCTATACTGGTCAAAGGCTCATTACGAGGTTCCCGCTAGTTGTTACTCATTTGGGTATGAAACACTGTCTTAGGAGGAGAGGTGGGTTGTTGACTGGTTTGTAAAGCTTAAGGGGTTTTCGTGGCGATGGTCCACGAAGGTGTTATGTTACGGAGGTGTGGCGATGACTTGTAACGTTTAGTACAACATTTTCATGAGCCTTGACTTTTGTCTTTGCTAACATTTATGCATCTTTTGAATTTGCAGTTGAAAGCTTGCCGATGGACGCGTTGAAGGTTGCACGTGAAGCGGCTACGAAGGTCCGAGCCGCAGGTGGCGAGGTCTCATCAGTCATTGCTATTCCCGCCGGCCATGGCAGAGAGGTGGAGAAGGGAAAAAAGAAAGTTGTTCACCTTTCCAAGAAGAAGAAAATCCGTTGTGCTGCGGATATTCCTGCCGGTGAGTTGGCAAGGAGGGCTTTAGGGCTGAACATAAAGGATGTGCAGGGTATGACGGGGGATTCAATAGCAGACAAATCTGTCTCCGGGGTGGTCCCGCCTGGCCGCGTGAGCTCTGGGCAAAAGAGGCCCGCTGACGAGAGTTTGTGCCCGCCAAAGGGAGCTATGGCAGTGAAGACTGAGCTATCAGAGTCTGGGCAGTCAGGTGGTAGTGATTTCTTTGCCATGGAAAACTTCGCGGATGGTCCTGGCGATGATGGGGTTATGGTGATCAGTACTCCATATGAGGTGGAGGTACCTTTCTTTATTGACCGGGAGAGTGGAGCGAGCCGGATTGAGCTATACTGGTCAAAGGCTCATTACGAGGTTCCTGCTAGTTGTTACTCATTTGGGTATGAAACACTGTCTCAGGAGGAGAGGTGGGTTGTTGACTGGTTTGTAAAGCTTAAGGGGTCTTCGTGGCAATAGTCCACGAAGGTGTTATGTTACGGAGGTTTGGCGATGACTTGTAACGTTTAGTACAACATTTTCATGAGCCTTGTCTTTTGTCTTTGCTAACATTTATGCATCTTTTGAATTTGCAGTTGAAAGCTTGTCGATGGACGCGTTGAAGGTTGCACGTGAAGCGGCTACGAAGGTCCGAGCCGCAGGCGGCGAGGTCTCATTAGTCATTGCTATTCCCGCCGGCTATGGCAGAGAGGTGGAGAAGGGAAAAAAGAAAGTTGTTCACCTTTCCAAGAAGAAGAAAATTCGTTGTGCTGCGGATATTCCTGCCGGTGAGTTGGCAAGGAGAGCTTTAGGGCCGAACATAAAGGATGTGCAGGGTACGACGGGGGATTCAATAGCAGACAAATCTGTCTCCGGGGTGGTCCCGCCTGGCCGCGTGAGCTCTGGGCAAAAGAGGCCCGCTGGCGAGAGTTTGTGCCCGCCAAAGGGAGCTAAGGCGGTGAAGACTGAGCTATCAGAGTCTGGGCAGTCAGGTGGTAGTGATTTCTTTGCCATGGAAAACTTCGCGGATGGTCCTGGCGATGATGGGGTTATGGTGATCAGTACTCCATATGAGGTGGGGGCCATTGTAACGGCGGGCGCCGAAGAGCCTTCTTCACCTGCTGTGATCCCGCTGGCCAGGGTCCTGAAGTTGACAGAAAGGGATCTCAACTCGAATTTCCTTAAGCCAATGCTGAACATGTCGGTGCCAGAGCACATTAACCGCCAGGAGATTGTGGACTGTACACGAGTAATTATTGGTAGAGTGTTGGCGATCCAGGAGGTTACCCTTGCTGCTGATCTTCGTTGCTCTGCACAAGATGATTGTCTCACTCAGATGGGGCGCAGGGTAGGAGACTTGACCGCTGAGGTGGGGCGCCTTGGAAAAGAAGTTCATGATCTGAAGGCCGCCAATAAGTCCTTGCATGACAGCAATGAATTGCTGAAGGATAGTGAGGAAGTTTTGCGTCTAACCCTGGAGAAGGATAACCTGTCAAAGTCGTTGGACGAGTTCGTAGCGGAGAAGAACAATCTTGAACTGGCGAAAAATGAATTATCTGTCGAGCTGGCCATCGTGTATGGGAACCTGCATGACGCCCAAGAAGATTCCAAAAAGTCAGCTGGGCAAGTGCAGGAATTGGAAACTGCCCTAGCCCAGGTTTTTTCTGAGTCTTTCAACAACGCTCTTTGGCAAGTCTTGCTTCGGTATCCTGGGGTGGATGCTACCGGTTTGAGCCCTGAGTATGTGGTGGAGGGTAACCGACTGGTTCATCGAATCTCAGACAACGAGGTGGTGGTGATCGAGGAAGGTCCCGAGACTGAGGGGGAGGAGGATGACGCGGGTGAGGACCAACCTGCTGGCGATGTTGTCGGTCAAGACTTGTCATCGGAGCTTGCTGGAGTTACTTTGTCGGGGCAGGGAGCGAGGGTAAACTTTAATATTTGATTCTTTTGGAGGATTTGCTGGTTGCTTTCAAGCAAGTAAATGATTTTTTTCGGAGTGCTGATGATTCAATGTCTGCATATTACTTGACACTGAAAGGATTCAATTTGTTACTTTTTTTGCATTCGGACCTGCAGCAGATTCTCTGGAGAACGTCCTTTTCTTATATCTGTCATCAATGAGCGCTTTGCCTCATCAGAATTGTTGTTGTTAGCATTTGATGATATATATGGAGAGAATTTATGGTATCTGATTTGAATTGGACTTACTTTTGTTGGAAAGGTGGAATTTGGAGTAGTGAACTGGAATATAGTGTAACACTTGATGGATCCAGATGGGTCAAAATACGGTCATGGCATACCTCATGACCTTGCCTTACGCAATTTCCATGTTGAGAATGGATTTCTCGGTCGGAGAAAGATAGCTAAGCTGGCTTGAGGTTATTATTAATGAGTTAAGTGACAAATTTGCCACAATAAATTCGGCACCATATCTGAACACTTATTATATGATCTACACTTCAACCCTAATCAATGTGGGATTTTATTCATTTTCTTGCACTTGAATTCCCATAAGCACGCAAGTTCGTTGGTTTAGTTTTTAGTTTTTTATATGCTGGGTGACTTGGGTAATCTTAGTTGTGTATATTTAGAAAGTTAAGAAGACGAAAAGTTCAAGAGTAATAACAGATAATGGTTAGATGACCTTTGCGTAGCATAATGATCTGGGAATGCACATGGTGTGATATTGACACGAGAGATTTGAAACGTGGTTTACTTGCTCATTTCCATTGTCTTTTAGTTAAAACGTGGTAGAATGCAACTCTGAAGTGGTATGAAACCAATTCCTTGTCTAATGACTAGATATAGAACCACATAAGAATAAATCTGACAGAATAGTTAGGTCAGATGCATTTCAAATAAAGAAAAAAGG